TGGGAAATCATTACAAGTGATTCATGTGAGTCTGAGTTTCACTCGCTATCATCAGGCCGTTTCAAAGTAATGCACATGAATAGCTGTCACTATGAAGTGACTATCACAGTAAGTTCTGGATTTATTAGAGGACGGACAGTATATCCCCACCACCATTCCCAGTAAGGTCCATCTGTCCGCCTATGGTCAGTCTTTGACCATCGAAGATAAACTGTTTTGTCACCAGTATAGATGGTTGATGGGCAAAAGTTGAAGCCACTGTAAATGTGGACCTGATGCCTTTCTGGTGGAGGTATTAATCCAGAATTAAAAGTTGAACACCAATTGGTACAAAAATAATGTAATATATTGCACTTTAGCAATTCTTAGATGTGGCAGCTGCATTCGCTTTCTTTTTTATAGACTTTTTTCATTTATTTTCTCCTGGTGATCTTGCTAGCAAGGTTGATTTTTAACTTCCTTTAACAGACCAAGTGGTCCACCAAAAATGGAAGTTAGAAGGTTGAGGCAAACCATTTCACAGGGGTGCATACGATGGTCAGCTTTTATGCATCTACTGTATATAAACACTTTATCTCAAAGGCAAAGAAACCTTTTGCTGTAACTGCCTAAAAAGTGCTAGTGCATCTAACATTTCCCTCACCCCAGATTGACTGATCTGCTGTCCAAAGGTGCAGCGCTAGATAATAGAGTCTGAAAGAAAGTCCACTAAAGTCTATTCATAAAAACGTGCCAGATGACAAATAGAAAAATCAATGGTGGTGGTCCGTGAAGAAAAACAGAAATGCGCACTCACCAGAAGACAGATGTAAGTAAGCGGTATGCATCAAAGCCCATAGATCCTCAATCAAGGAGAGAACTGGCCCGGTCAAAGTGGGTTGACCTTCCCTTAAGGATGCAGAGCAGATCCAGGTAGCCAGCGGTCTCCTACAGCTGGATGGACGGAAGGGGTCTCCTGCTTAAAGGGGGGGGGTCTTCCTCCTCTTGGTAAAGGCCTGAATTCTCAGTAAAGGTTTGCTGAACAGATGAACTAAATGTCTAGATTTGGCAACTTCACCCGTCTGAACCTCTGGCTTTATTGCCCCAGAAGCCATTCGGTTATTGGAGAGGAGTACCTTTTTGCAGAGTCCTTTACTGAGAGTTCAGGCCTTTACCAAGAGGAGGAAGACCCCCCCTTTAAGCAGGAGACCCCTTCCGTCCATCCAGCTGTAGGAGACCTCTGGCTACCTGCATCTGCTCTGGATTAGCTTTGCATCCTTAAGGGAAGATCAACCCACTTTGACAAGACCAGTTCTCTCCTTGATTGAGGATCTATGGGCTTTGATGCATACCGCTTACTTACATCTGTCTTCTGGTGAGTGCGCATTTCTGCTTTTCTTCACGGACCGCCACCATTGATTTTCTATTTGTCGTCTGGCATGTTTTTATGAATAGACTTTAGTGGACTTTCTTTCAGACTATTATCTAGCGCCGCACTTTTGTTGATATTACTCTAAGTATTTTTTGGTTACTTAGAGTGCTTAGCTGCTTTTTTGGATAAGCGCTCACTCTTTTATTATTATATACATAGTGCTGTCCAAAGGTGTTTCTGTTCTGCCTCCATCCTGAATGGAGACACCCTACTACAAGAAATGTGTTACTGGCCGGTGAATATAAAAGGAAAAAAGTCTAAGAAATGAACGTAGGCACTACATCTAGGGATCGGTAAGCTGGAATATATAACTTTTTGTTTTTTGGGTTTAATACTGCCTAAAGACTAAATGCTAATGCAGGTGGGCCCACTGAACTGATACCTACTGACACAGAGAAAATCAACGTTTGCTTAAGATGACCCGTGGTTTCTGTAGAGAAGACAAATGGAAAAAAAAAAACCATGTTGATGGAGCTGTAATTGGAAGATGGCTGGTGTTGCCTAGATATGGTATCGGAGAAGAGAAGAGGAGAGGAAGGGGAGAGGAAAAGGAGAGGAAGTGAAAGAGAAAGAGGAGAGAAAGAGAAGAAGAAGAGAAGAAGAAGAAGAGAGCAGGATGAGAAGAGGAAGAAAATAGAAGAGGAAGGAAAGAGGAGAGTAAAGGAAGATGAGAGGAAGAGAAAGAGAAGGAGAAGAGAAGAGGACAGAAAGAGAAGAAGAGAAATGGAAGAGAAAGAGGAATAGAAAGAGGAGAGAAAGGGAAGAAGAGAAGAGGAAGCGAAAGAGGAAGAGAAAGAGAAGAAAAGAGGAAGTGGAGAGAAAGAGAATAAGAAGAGAGAGAAGAGGAAGGGGAAGAGAAGAGGAAGAGGAGAGAAAGAGGAGAGAAAGAGAAGAAGAGAAAGAGGAAGTAAAAGAGAGAAAGAGAAGAAGAGAAGAGGAGAGAAAGAGAAGAGGAAGAAGAAGAGAGGAAGAGAGAGAAGAGAAGAGGAAGAGGGAAGAGAGAGGAAGAGGAAGAGGAAGAGGAAGAGGAGAGAGAAGAGGAAGAGGAGAGAAAGAGGAAGAGGAGAGAAAGAGGAAGAGGAGAGAAAGAGAGAAGAGGAAGAGAGAAAGAGGAAGAGGAGAGAAAGAGGAAGAGGAGAGAAAGAGGAGAAAAAGAGGAAGAGGAGAGAAAGAGGAGAAAAAGAGGAAGAGGAGAGAAAGAGGAGAGAAAGAAGAAGAAGAGAAGAGGAAGAGAAGAGGAAGAGGAAGGGGAAGAGAAGGGATAAGGGATGGGGTGGAGAGAGGGGGCACAAGACATTGGGGAAGCAAGGGAGGGGTATCGGAGGAGATGGGGAAGAGGGGCATTCAGACCCCATGGGTCTCTAAAGGATGACACAGACTAAGGATTCAGAGTAGTTGGGTTTGGAGCGCGTTCCTAAGATGGGACTATAATGTCCAACATGTCTGAGCTTGAAGCTCCACAAAGACCCATTATTGTATTCCTCATGTTCCTGTGATGAGTGGTGTGTCAGCTGTGAAGACCTAACACCAGTCATGCTGTCCACAATGACAGGACGAGTTGTAGCTCCGTTATTTCCTTGCTGTCATCAATTGTAGCCGATGTGCTCCTCTCCTTTCACTCTTGATATCCTTCACCGGAGTTCTACATTCTCCTCTATCCCCACTTGTCTTTGCCGAGCCAACAAGCTTTTGCTTTTTTTTTTTTTTTCTTCCACAAATCATGGGCCATCATTTTGTTAAACAGACCCTTCTTTGCTAAGAGGAGGCTTAAATATTTAATAATCAAAACACTGCTGTGTTCAGCTTCTTAACTGTTCTTATGAATAATTTGTGTTTGATAGAAGAAGGCAGCGGGTAAAGCGGGTACAAAGTTTCACCTTCCCGGCGGCAAATGTCTTTGTTTCACCTCCAGCTGATTCGATGACTCGGGCTTCCTAATCGGCTTCGAGAGGGCAAAGAAAGACAAGCGAGAGCCATTGTCATTATTCAAAATCGGTCTTCCCAAAAGTGTCAGTCGCTTCCTCTAAGCCGCGGGATAATGACAGCGTGTCATAAAGCGGGACTTACAGTTTAATGCCCCAAATAACGTCTGCGTGCATTTAAGCCAGCGGGAGAGCTTTGGCGTCAAGCTGTCTGCAGGTAGAGAGGCCTAACTATCTGTCCGGGAGATGTTGGCTCCTAACTCAGGCAATTAGAGGCGTTTCTCGGGATAATTCGAGAATGCGAATTCCGGCGTTGGTGACAAACCAATCTGAAGCTCCTTTGTGAGGAAGAGAAAAACTGTCATTTCACAGCTCCAGACGTTTCGGAGGCACTTCAATACACCGAGAGATTAATGCGACGTTGCCAGGAAAGTTCTACACCACCAGTTTTATTGTAGGGAACAATGTCCGTCTTCAGAGTAAACATACTGTCACTGGATAAAGCTTTCTATAAAACAGCAATTTATAAAGAAAAATCAGCAACCGAAGATGGAAAGTCTTTGCTGGGGGAAGGGATCTTACGAATATCGCTTTGTGCGAAAAATATTGCTTGTCTGTATCTTTTTTCTATAATTGAGCGGACTCTTGAGAGTTTTCTTGTGGATATGACACTCGGTTACTGATAATGATTTGATATAGCAATAGAACTTGTCACAACACACAAGAAACCGTCCCTTTGACTTGAATGCTTTTTCGGTAAAGCTCACGGGGACCACAATGAGGAAACTTGCTTTTAACCACCTCCCGTCTGGCCGTTGTATATAAACGGCCGGACGGTGGCAGAGCAGGGGCGGGTTGGATGTTTATAAACGGCCTCCCCACCCCCTGCTTGTGCGCGCTCCCTGGGACGCAGTGGAACACCGATCATCGGACCAATCAGGGATCACATCAATGATCTGGCCAATCAGTGATCACATGCAGAGTAGTAAGCAAGATGTCACTTCTGACATCATTGCTTACTACGTGTGAAATCTGTGAATGATCACCGAGATCACACATGGTACAGGGCTATTCACAACAGCCTTGTGCCATGTGACAAGCTGTGACCAATCACAGCTCACACAGTAGTTCTCAATGGCTGCAAGAATGCAGCCAGAGAGAAATAGAAATGATTGATGTTCCAGCCTTTATGGGTGTAAAAGCAATCAGTGTGTAAAAAAAAAAAAAAAAATCTTCATTACCCCCCACAAGTAGTACAGTGTCACTGTACTGCTAGGGTGACAAGTATGTAAAAAAAAAAAAAACAATAATATAAAAAAATACAAAATGTTTAAAAATTATTAATTTTTGGTTATAAACTAATGTAGGTTTTTTGGAAGGGGGGGGGGGAAGTGTCCGGACTGGAAGGGGGGGGGAAAGTGTCCGGACTGGAAGGGGGGGGGGAAGTGTCCGGACTGGAAAGGGGGGGGGAAAGTGTCCGGACTGGAAGGGGGGGGGGGGGGGGGGGAGTGTCGGACTGGAAGGGGGGGGGGGGACAGTGTCGGACTGAGGGGGTAGGGGGAGTGTCGGACTGGAAGGGGGTGTGTTCCGGACTGGAAGGGGGTGAAAGTGTCCGGACTGGAAGGGAAGTGAAAGTGTCCGGACTGGAAGGGAGGGGGGGAAAGTGTCCGGACTGGAAGGGAGGGAAAGTGTCCGGACTGGAAGGGGGGGGGGGAAAGTGTCCGGACTGGAAGGGGGGAAAGTGTCCGGACTGGAAGGGGGGGGGGAAAGTGTCCAGACTGGAAGGGGGTGAAAGTGTCCGGACTGGAAGGGGGGAAAGTGTCCGGACTGGAAGGGGGAGAAAGTGTCCGGACTGGAAGGGGGGAAAGTGTCCGGACTGGAAGGGGGGAAAGTGTCTGGACTGGAAGTGGTGAACCAACGAAAGTAAACAGGGCTATATATATATATTTATTTTTTAGGAATATTACAATGATTACGCTTGTTTATACACCGATCAGCCATACCATTCTGACCAATGACAGGTACAGTGAACACACTGATTATCTCATTACAATGGTATCTGAAAGTAGGTGGGATATATTAGGCAGTGAACATGTTTATCCCTGAAGTTTTGAAAGCAGAAGAAATGGGCAAGTGTAAGGATTTGAGGGACTTTGATGATGACCAAATTGTAATGTCTAGATGACTTGGTCAGAGCAACTCCAAAACTGCAGCTCTTGTGAGATGTTCTCAGTATGCAGTGGTCAGAACCGACCAAAAGTGGTCCAAGGAAGGAAAAACCGGCCAACCAGAACATGGGTGGGCAAGGCTGATTGATGAAGGTGGTGTCACAAGTTAGCCTGCAGTTTATTGTTTGTGTTCTTACCTCCTTGGTGCAGTGCTGTTCCTGATCCCTTCACATGTGTGTTTGTCTGTGCTCACCTATGGGATTCATCTGCTGTTCTCTGGGTTTTATTTCCTTCCCTTCCATCACTTCCTGGCCCGCCTCCTTGTTTTCCTGTCTATATAACACATGCTCAGTGTAGGCCACTTTGCCTGAGCACCTTCCTAGTTGTCGGAGCTCCTGTGTGTTGCTATTGCCTGTATCCTGCATTGACTACTTGTGTACCGACCTCGGCTTCGTTCTCTGACTGTGCTTGATTTCCGCCTGTCCTGACCTCGGCTAGTCTATCGGATTTCCGTTTGTCTCCTCTCATTGTACTCTGCTCCCGCGAGCGGTCTCCTCGACCTCAGCTGAGCATACCTAGGGGCTGTGACCTGGTCCCAGCTTGCTGCAAGTCCATCCCACCATCAGGGGCTCTGGTGAAGAAGCAGGCTGGGGCTTAGACTCTGTGCCTTGGGGAACCCCAAGTTGAGTATCTACAAGGGCTCACTACCACAGGTGCTCACAGGTGGGGAGGGAAGGCTCATTGATGGAGGTGGAGGGGTTATTGATGGAGGTGGGGAGGGAAGGCTCATTGATGGAGGTGGGGGGGAGGATTACTGATGGAGGTAAGGAGGGAAGGCTTATTGATGTGGGGGGATTATTAATGAAGGTGGGGAAGAAAAGGCTCATTGATGGAGGTGGGGGGGTGAATTATTGATGGAGGTGGGGGGGGATTATTGATAGAGGTGGGGAGGGAAAGCTGGGGAGGGGCCTGTTTAGTCAAAGCAAATAGAAGAGCTACTGGAGCTGAAAATACTGAAAAAGTGAATACAAATTCTGGTAGAAAGATGTCAGAACACACATCAAAAAAGGAGAAGAGAGGCGCCTTCCTTTTTCATTTTGCATGCAGAGTTGGTTCGCTCTGGGATGGCTGCCATCTGAAGCGGTTATTAGCCATAGACTCTATTGGGACTTATGGACATATAACACTGGACATTAGCCATTAGTGTGCTGAGATCTTTCCTCTATGTCAGAACACACATCGCATTGCGTTTTTTTTTGTGTTATGGGGCTGTGTAGCTGCAGACCGGTCAGGGTACCCATGCTGACCAGTGTCTACAGCCAAATGTACCTACAATGGGCAAATGAGCATCAGAACTGGACCACGGAGCCATGAAAGGTGACCTGGTCTAATGAATCCAAGAATAGTTTGAGGAACACAACAACGAGGTCAAAGCGTTGACTTGGTCTCAAATTCTCCAGATCTCAATCCAATGAATGTGCTGGAAAAAAAAGCACGATTAACGGAGGTCCCACTTCCCAACTTACAGGACTTAAAGGATCTGCTACTGACAGCTTGGGGCCAGATACCACAGCATACCTTCAGAGGTCTAGTGGAGTCCATGGCTTGATGGGTAGTGATGGGCGGTCAAATGGCTGATCGGTGTAGATGCTGGAGGAGCACTTTATAAAGATGGATACAAGTTTCATTTGTCAATGTTACCAGCAGTCTTCACCCGCCGACCATTGGGGAAAACGGGCGGACCATAGAAGGATTTCTCATAGTGGCCGGAGAATGAAGACTTATGGCAACATTAAAAAAACCTACAGCCACCTTGGTTAAGTGTTGTCTTGCATTGAAACCAAAGTACAATTATAATATGTGGTTTGCTAAAAATATTATGGAGTACTTTCTCTATTTTTTAGTTATTTGTCTGCTTGATTTTTGCCCATGGCCCTGGATTCATGTGTGTTACAACATGCCAATGAATGTACATTTGAGTAAGGCAGCCCTTTGCATTGTGTGTTGCAGTAAGTAGCCCATTAACTTTGCATTGTGTGCTGCAGTAAGTAGCCCGTTGACTTTGCATTGTGTGCTGCAGTAAGGCCTGCCATTAACTTTGCATTGTGTGCTGCAGTAAGGCCTGCCATTAACTTTGCATTGTGTGCTGCAGTAAGGCAGTCGCTGACTTTGCATTGTGTGCTGCAGTAAGTAGCCCATTGACTTTGCATTGTGTGCTGCAGTAAGTAGCCCATTGACTTTGCATTGTGTGCTGCAGTAAGTAGCCCATTGACTTTGCATTGTGTGCTGCAGTAAGTAGCCCATTGACTTTGCATTGTGTGCTGCAGTAAGTAGCCCATTGACTTTGCATTGTGTGCTGCAGTAAGTAGCCCATTGACTTTGCATTGTGTGCTGCAGTAAGTAGCCCATTGACTTTGCATTGTGTTCTGCAGTAAGTAGCCCATTGACTTTGCATTGTGTGCTGCAGTAAGTAGCCCATTGACTTTGCATTGTGTGCTGCAGTAAGTAGCCCATTGACTTTGCATTGTGTGCTGCAGTAAGTAGTCCATTGACTTTGCATTGTGTGCTGCAGTAAGTAGCCCATTGACTTTGCATTGTGTGCTGCAGTAAGTAGCCCATTGACTTTGCATTGTGTTCTGCAGTAAGTAGCCCATTGACTTTGCATCGTGTGCTGCAGTAAGTAGCCCATTGACTTGTACATTGCAGTTAGGAAGCCCATTGATATTGCATTGCGGTATGACAACCCAATGACTTTGGATTGTGCCTTCCAGTAAGGCATCCTATTTACATTGCATTGTGCATTGCAGTAAGCCAGGGCATCGACTCTGCAATGCATGTTGCAGTGTGGCGGCCATTAAAACTGCATTGTGCGTTGCAATAAGTCAGCCCATTCTCTTTGCATTTTGTTTTAAAAGATTTAAACCTTTTTTTACCCCAAGTAACACACCACAATGCACAGTTGGATTCACATCTCTTAAGTTGGATCACATGGGGATGGGTGTTGGGCATGACATTCAGAATGAATGGCACCACAGCGCACTGTGTATGGCGGGGTACTGTGTGTTGCAGTCATGTGCAGAAAGCCATGCATTGTACACCATGTACCTGCAACACACAGATGTGAATAGGGTTTAGGAGTTTTGACCGCCTGGGATTCAGCCTTTGTGAATTGGAATTATACTGTTTGGACCAGGGGCGGACTGATCATTGGGGAACTCGGGCACTTCCCGAGGGCCCAGGGTCAGTAGGGGGCCCCAGGAGATGTCCCTGGTAACTTTCATAGGCTTTCTTGAGTGTGGTTTGAGTGTGGGCGAGGACACAGGGGCCCCACGATCCCCTATTGTCCGGAGGCCCCATGAGTTGTCAGTCCACCCCTGGTTTGGACCCAGCTCTAGCTGCAGATGCAGGATGAGAACATTCCATTTTGCTTTCTTGATCTTAAGTTGCATTTAGCAAACAGAAGTATGAGCGAATGGAGGCCCTCATACCTTCTCATTGACGTGTGCCACCACATATACAGACAACAGGATGCCTCGACTACAGGAACTTTGGAAGGATTCTACCCACATCCTCACAGCATCGGATCTACGCAGTTTGCCTATATTTATATACACCATCCGGAGCTCAAGGGATCCTGGAGAACGTTCTCTCAAGTCTGCAGTTTGCATGTACAATGATGCATGAATTGACTTGTATGGCTGCAGCTGCTGGGATCTGGGGTTGGGCCAGAAAACAGAGCTATTTAAGAAGACTCAGCCGTCAACTGCTTTTCCACCCACTCATTACCCTGAATATGACTACAACCCCTCTCATTATAGACTGAGTAACCAAGCTGTGGTGCTGGGTCACACAGCCATGGAGGCTGTAAACAGACGTACATGTATCAAGAAGCAATGATATATATAGATGTGAAAAAAATCAATGATATGAATAGCACTTGTTGCACCCTCCTAGATATCTGTCAGGGCAGGGCTGTGGAACGGACAGGTAGGCCTAATAACAATGTAACGCACTGGCTGACGACAACCACCACCAACAGACCGAAGTCCCTCAGGGCGCGGAGTCTAAGTCCCAGGCTGCCCTTCACCAGGGCCCCTGATGGTGGGGATGGACTTGACGCAGCCAGGAACCAGGTCGCGGCCCCCGAGACACCCCAGCTGCGGTAATGGCCGGCGCAAATGGCGTGTAGCTGGTAAGAATGACAATAGCGCAGTCAGGCAGGCCGGGTCGACAACAACGGGACAAAACGGTACAGAACAGTAGACAGAGAATCACAGGTCACGGGCCGGGTTCAGCAACGGAAGGTCAGATCGAAGGAAAACACAGAGAATGGTCTTAGTCACAAGCCGAGTCAGATACCAGAAGAGTCACGAGAGTATACACAGAGCTGTAACAACAGAAACACAAGACACAAGTGCAAAGAGCATGTGTGGATCACAGGCTTATATGTACTCAGCCACACCCTTCTGGGGGATGGACCTCAGAGACCTGAAGGCATAAAAGATTCCCACCATGCTCAGCAGAAATCCAAGATGGATGCCAGCACATGGAGTAACATAACCTCTGGGAAAAGGTAGGACCTTGACAATATCTCCTGGGTTAGGTAAATTTAGTTCTTACCTCTCCTGCAATCATTTGAGCTCCGTACAATTGTTTTGATCTGTTCTGTGTCTCACTGGCCGCAGGATTGGCTGCTTCCCCCTGTTTTCTGGAAAATTCTGGAAAATAGTGGGTTGGG